GGAATCATAGGCCCAACACAATATTTACCACTAGCCTACCGCAGCCAATCAGCTTCTGGCTGACGGGGCTGCAGCTAGCCGCATTGTGTAATGTTGATTTCGTAAAAGAAAACTCGGTTAGTGAAAAAAGCTAAGGTATTTCCGGTGAGCTGGTGAGCTCCTAAAATGTAAACACCCCCGCCCCACCCATTTTTTAAAAGCCTTTTAATAATACTTCCTCCTCCTCTCCCCCCTCTTTCTCTCTCTCCTCTCCCCCTGTCTCTTTGCATATATATCATATTATTAATACTTCTCTTTCTCTCTCTCTCTCTCTCTCTCTCTCTCTCTCTCTCTCTCTCTCTCTCTCTCTCTCTCTCTCTTGTGGCTACCATTGAAAAGTATAAAGATAATTCTGTGTCACTAATTAAGCTACTGTAATTCATATTTTGCTGTATACAGAAATAAAGGATAATTTTCCCAAAGCCAAAACGTTAACTTTTCTGAACTGGTAAGATTTAGATGATGTGACACCCCTTCATAAAGAGATATCTGTATGAAATTTTATGAATTATGTCCCTTGCCCACGGGAAGTGCTTGGTGGACGTTGTCTGTTTATTATTGTTGACGTATGTGTGGATCTCAAATGTTGACAAATAAATAAAACAGAAGCTGTCACAGTAATGTTAGCTGTCTGCCGAGCTATGTTTCATTGATCATCTGTGAGGCGTTTGTGGTCTATTACTCCATTAGTGAAGTCAGAAGATCAGAGGGCAAAACTGCAAGATGACTGCTGCCGATGCGGCATCGGCATCGCTGTCCAGTCGACTTGACAGTATCACAACAGAAGTATGTGGTGTGTCAGTTTTGGTGAAAAGATTTTGGCGCTCTTTGGAAATTGCCTTCCCATTCCATTGAATAGCCATTTCAGTTAAATATGCCATGTAAACGTGAAGATTTTGTGGGGTTTTTTTTTACCTAGTGGCTAAGTTCACGGCGCCGTGAACGTAGTTTGCAGGCTACGTTCACGGCGCCCTGAATCATCCACCTTTGGCACAGAGGCATGACTGAAATGCTACGGTCGCTCAAACTCAAAGTGAATGAGGAAACAGCTCAGGAATACTAGGCCTAGCTTGAAAAATAATGCAGCGGTGGTTTGAATGCATCGGGGTTTACGGATGGCGAAGGTGGGCATTACAAAACAGCATCGGTTGACAAGGCCTTGCTCGCTCAGTGCGCGGAACACGACTTCGATCCTCTTTTCGTGTGCGAACCCGGCAACGCTCGACAATTTGAAAATAAAAGTCATTCGAAGAAACAAGGGAGAATGAAAGAAGGCCAAGGCAGGAAGAGGGGTGGGAGGGGGTGAAGAAAAGAAAATTCTAAGCAAAAGGGAAAAGGGTGGAGGGTGAAGTGAGCAACATCATTCTTAAGTTCTACTCTGTCTCAAAGTGGTCGCTCGTTACGGAAGTCCTCCCCAACTTTTAATGGAGTAGCTTCCTAGTGGTCAAGAAGACTTGATGCATAGTGGTGGTATCATGAAAGAAGGATCCGGTGTGTGGCGGTATGCTCAGGGCAGGGGTGGACTTCCACTCTTCCAGACTTCCATAACGAGCGGCCTCTATAAATAATTAACACAATATAAAAAAGAGACCTAACCCAGACCCTACTATCCTAGCCCTAATCTAAACCCTAATCCTAGCCTTAACTCAAGCGCTATACCACGGGACCTCGCCTCAGCAGGCGCGCCAACCGTGTGAGGGGGTGATGTTAACATGGCATCACTGGGCGTAACCACAAGAGGCGGTGAACAGCCAGGGCGGAAAAAGTTCCCAAATGAACCTAACGGCTTCGTGTTTGAGACCAAGGCGAGCCACCGGTTGGGAGGACTTCGGCTGTGGTCTGGAGTGGAGAAGGATGGGCTCCGCCATGCGACATTGCCCAAGAAACGACAATGAAGATAACAGCCAGAAAGAATCCCCCATACCGGCTCGGTCGTCGCCCGGAACAAGAACCACCTCTTCTTAGTCTTACGTTGATGGTCACCAGGACGAAAGAGGAAACTATGCTACTGGAAGACCAACAAAAAGTGTATACGTGCCAGAGGAAACATCGTCATTGGCACGTGGAATGTGAGAACTTTGAGAGAAGCAGGGAAGGTTAAGCAACCAGAACACGAGATGGAAAGATCCTGGGAATGTGCGAATTACGATGGAAGAATTTCGGAGAAACCTCAACCCCAGAAGGGCATAAACTATACTACAGTGGCAGAGAAGACCGCCATGAATATGGAGTTGGAGTACAGTCCATGCCGGCTTTAAGCACGGTCATCGGGAGAAAGCATATATAAAGAGAAGCGTGATTAATGCCGAAGCGTGATTAATGCCGAAGCGTGCTTGAGTGCGAAGTAGATATTGTTCATAATCCAGAGATTTTTAAGTTGAAAATTTCCTGAGTTATTACCCTTTGTTCATAAGTAGTGGTCATGCAAAAGTGTGCACTGTCATTTTTACCCGCCAGGGTAGTTTTTGTTTGTTTGTTTCATTTTGTTGTCGAATCAAATTAGTAGAGTATCTTTGGTCGAATGGGAAAGAAAAATTTAATTTAGACGGCCAGTCACGGTACAGCACTCTAGGCCTAGGCTTACACACTGCCTGTGCGTACCACTGCCCACTGTGCCACATTCATCCCACCTTGTACGTGATACATAATCAGGATTATTGGATAGCGAGGGGCAAAGGTGAAATGGCAGCCAGCCTCCCTTTCTCGTCACCTCTACTCTCTTCGTATTTTTTTTCCTCTGTGTAACTTTGCCCTAGGCTAGATCCTATGTCCATGCGCGCGGCTATGAGCATTTCTCTGCCTTCCTCTCCGCGTGTGTGTGTCTCCATCACTTGCGTTCTTTGTGTTTCTCTTACACTACTCACTGCTGGGGTGGAGACTGTGTTCAAACGTCGATGGGTCATCATGAAAGTATTGACTGTCTTGTAAATGAAGTGTGCCCAAAGCCGGAGTTACCGTTCTTAAAGGCGTGTAATTTATAATATATATATAAAAAGCAAAAATTCAGTAAGAGCCGTTTTTAGCGTGCTTGAGTCCGAAACATGCTTTATGCCGGCGTGCTTAAAGCCGGCACAGACTGTACTCTTTCATAAAGACACGGTGAACGCCGTCTTGAGTTGCGGACTAGTTTCTTGCCGACTCATAGCCATACGCTTGAAAGCATCACCATTTAAGATCACTGTCATCCTAGCATATATATGCACCAACAACAGCTTATGATGACGAAGAAGTGGAGGATTTCTACATCCAACTCCGAGAAATACTGGGAGAAACACAGAAGAAGGAATATCATTGTTGTACAAGGCAACTGGAATGCTTAGATCGGGGCAGATGCAATGAAAGACTGGGAAGGAATCTATGGACCCCACTGCAGTACCAACCCCAATGACAGAGGTCTTGGCTCCTGGAATTTGCTAGCTATAACAACCTAAAGCTGATGAACACTTTTGGCCCACATAAAAGGCATCAAGGAGATGGGCGTGGTGCTGTCCAAGTGGAGATTTACGTCAGATAGACTACGTCATTATGTCATGGTCTAGCATCAAGCGTGACCTGACTTGCCCTTCCTTACCATGCAAGCTGTACCCCTTTGACTTCAACCCGTGTGCTCTTTGTGGTAGTCTAGAAGAAAATTCTGAGTTGATCTAGAGATGTTGGTGTTGTCCCCTTTTATTTTATTATTTTAAACCTTTGATTTTTAGTTTTAGTAGAGGTTTTAGGGGACTCGCAACTGCATAAGGTCGTATGAGCGACAGAAGATTAGAGGTGTTACAAGAGAGTAACAAACATAAAAAAGAAGAAGGGGAGATAAGGACAATAGATGTTTGATAGGAAAGAAGAAACAAACCACTCCAGAGCACCCGCCAACCACCCACAGTGTTTGTTTAAGTACCAAGTAGCTGTTTAGTTTATCTTTCTAAATTAATTCTAGTAGTGTTTAGTTTCTAGATGCTGTTGTAATGGAAAGTGAACGTAAAGGGTTATTTTTGAATGGAAAGAAAACAGAATGCATGATTATTGAAAAAATCTGTAAACCCTGTTTTGTGTTCTCGTAAACAAAAGCGAAAAGATAAAACACGTTCAACAGTTTAAAAAATATCTAAGATATATGTGTCACAACGCTGTGGAATCAGACGCTCATCAAAACAATGAAATCAAAGAAGCTGGCATTTTTCCTGGCTGGTGGCAATTTTTTTCTAATTTTCTTATTTTTGGCTCAACACTTTTTAAAATAAATATATGTATGTAAAATCTCATTTCTGTGTGGATTTTACTAGAAAACGTTTGAAAGCACAAACAATGTAAGTTTTCAGTTTTCAAGGACTGTAAAGCTATGGAAGCCATCATACCTTGACGGCCATTTCCTCACTTATTTCACCTCTGCAACGTGACGATCCCCACTTCTTTCAGTCGCAAATATATCTCGACTTCTATTCATGTAGATAAAAGTCATTGTTTTGTCAAAGACAAATGAATAGACTAGAGATGATACCAATAACTCCACATGCCCAAAAATTGACGAGCACCTGATTCCACAGCGTCATGAAACATATATATATATATATATATATATATATATATATAATAATTACATGTGATGCCATGTCATGTTCTACAGAAATAAAACGGAGTATTACAATGACTAAAGATAGTTTCAATAAAATGAGCCCAATCCTGAACAATGGAAACATCTCAATGACTACCAAAGTGAAAGTTCTGAAATGCTGTGTTTTTGGTCAACCCTTCTGTATACGGCTGTGAATGATCAAATGAGGTAGCACTTGAAGAAGCCTGCTTGGGCTGCTCGCTGATTTTAACCCTTCAAGCCCCAGCCATTTTTATGCGCTCCCTAACTCCAGTCCTAGCCAATACAGAGCAGTATTTCAGAAAAAAGAAGCACGCATTCTGAAAAGTGATGTAGTATCTTTGTCATGAGGTTTAGATGATGACATATAACTATGTTTAAAGGTAAATGAACAAATATTATGAAAATTCAAGTTTATTTAGGTTCACTGCCATTTAAAAAAATGTGCACATTCGGTACTCCCCCCGAAACTGAAAATATACGCTCTTGGGATGGTGGGAGGTACAAGTGCTGCTGAAAATATACGCTCTTGGGATGGTGGGAGGTACAAGTGCTGCTGAAAATATACGCACATGGGGCCGGAAGGGTTATATAGAATCAAGGGACACTTGTATAGACACTTTAGGGCCTTGAACATCTAGCTCTCCTGAAAGCAAACGAGGCAGGGACTGATCACAATGTGTGGCATTAACTCTTTGAACTCCATCAGACGCTGGGAGCGTCCCGCGGTTATAACCCTGCCCCTCATAGGACGCTCGGGAGCGTCCAGCATTAGTGACAACATTTTCGTTTTATTTAGAGATAGTTTTTGCTTCTTTTTCTGAACTATTCCCTAACCAAGTTTATTAGTAATTAATGACTATATAAGCCTTTGTTTCCGCTATTTAGAAGTTGAAGGTAAGCTTTGGTGGTTATAATGAGACATAGTGCACCAGTTTTAGGTGACTGTAGAAAAAACTCTGGGAAACGGTAGAAAAAACTCAGGGTTTAAAAAGATAAAAGATGAAAGTAGTTACAACATGAGTAAAAAAATTTAACAGGACAAAAAGAAAAAGGCTGACAAACATTGCCAACCTCTTAAAGCTTGATAACTTTTACTTCTAATAACAGATTTTTGTCACTCTCTTCAACTTCATCATCATAATATTTACACCTTCGTTCTCTGAACTCTCTTCTGTATACAAGGTTCTCTACAGTGGTAGTGTACTAACTTACTTTTTGAAACTTGGAAAATTGACCAAAGGAGGAAACCACAATTGCTTCAAATACTTTGAAAAATGGAAATAGCTTCCCTGTTAGTTTAAGACCCAAACTTCCATTTTTAAGGTCAGTCACCCAGATGAGAAGGAAATTCTTTAACCATATCCGTACGCCCTGGGGTAATTTTGTACCCCCAGGGTTGTATTCTTCAATTTTTAGTATACTTCTAGTGCGAAGATCTCTATGGAACTTTCAGTATTTCTCAAAAAAATCATTTTGACTGACTGCTATGTATGCATAGCGGTCATAGTGTGAGGATCGGATTAACGAGTAAATTTCCTCTTTGGAAAGTGGTGGCTCAGAGTTCCCCACATCGTATAGATACGATAGTAAAACATGACGTACGGATAGGGTTAAAGAAAGCATGAATGTCTCTAGTAATTGTAGAGCTGTTTTTCACGTTTTAGATAATCTCTCATGTTGCATAAATGTTTCGTGCAAAAGACTTACCTGCCTCTTGCATGTGAAAGCTGGTGAATTCAGAATGTTGCTTCTCCCACTGCCGTTGATGAATTAATAATTTTTAGAATTTACAGGAAATGCTTTCTGTCTTATATTATTGAAATTTAATGTAGAGAGAGAACATTTAGTTTCGCTTTAAAAACAACTGAACATAATGAACAATGTAATTTTATTTTAAGGGGTAAAGTGCCTCTATAACATGCATTAGTCTGCCTCTCAGAGGAGCTGGTGTTTCTTACAGCTTGCATACATATATATATATTTATGATATTATAAGAAGGGAAGAGTTGAAAAGCCGTAGCCTCATCTTGTTAATATCTGCACCATCTGGCTGTGACAGTCACCGACAGGTGTCGCTGAATTCCCAGTAGTTTTTGCCTCCCTCCCCTTTCCGCTGTGCTGGTGTGTGTGGTTGTCGTGTTTGCTCAGAACTTGATGTACCGTAAATAACCTTTATCATACTTCATGTATTGAAAGCGGCGTCAAGGACTTTTAAATAATGAATTTAAAAAAGCAGTTTGTTTCGAGTTTATTCCCAATATTATGCATAAAAACTTTTGTAAATAATATACTCAAAAGTCATATGTAGCATTTAAAAGTTTAAAATATAAATCTTTTTGAAAGTGTAGTGAGTAAATGGACAGCCAACAGCCAGTCTGCTACTCAAACTGACATAATACACAGTTAGTTTTACAGTTCTCTGCTCTCTCTCTCTCTCTCTCTGTCACTAGTGCGAGCTAGTGCTTGTTTTTTGTGGGGATGCAGCCCTAAAAGGGTAATAGATCATGATTTATGACCCCAGGCTCAGTCCTTCAGACAGGAGTAGCTGTGTGCTAACATCACTTAACTGACACAGTTGGGAGGACAATGATAGAGCCAGCTGTTGTGTTGTGTGCCTGCTCACTGATCAGTGCTTGTTGTATCTAGTGGTTTCATGAAGCAGTGATGTTTTCTGGTGGTATCAAAAGATGGTTTCTCGCAGAAAAAGTAAGATCATGCCTTGTTGAATAAGGTCTGTTTGTTTGATTGATTCTTTTAGTTAGAAAAATTGATGGGCAGGTCTTTGATATTGTTTATTTGTTTGATTTTGTTTATTTTTTAAAAAATTTGTCATTTCCAGTACTTTCATAGGGTCAAATATTTCATTTGAACCAATTAACACAAAACACTGCTTCACTTTAAGGCTTGGTCACCCATCAGAACTTTTTCTACGACTTTGTATTACGCTCTCACAGGAAAGAGTGCTTTGTGTTTTATTGTAACCGGAGTATGCTGGTGCAACAGCTGGAAGATTATACATTACATTCAACTTCTTAAGCCGAATGTGGCAACTCTTGACCTCGCACAGAACTCCCACTCTATGGTACGACTTTTCTTCTGGTGCCCTCTGTTATTGTAACATTTGCCAATGTTTTTCCATCCTCCTGACCCTGTCGCCCACATATTTTTGTTGCTCTACAGGAAATGCTGCGGTACGGATTGGCAATTTTTATATGCAAACTGATTAGTTTTCTGCTTTTTTTAAAACCCTATCCGTACGTCGTGTTTTACTATCGTATCCATACGACGTTGAGAACTCTGTGCCACCACTTTCCAAAGAGGAAATTTACTCGTTAATCCGATCCGTACGCTTTGCATACACCAGTCTATCAAAACGATTTTTTTGAGAAATACTGATTTTAAAGAGATCTTTGCACTAGAAATTTTCTAGAATATGAAGAATACAACCCCAGGGGGTACAAAATGACCCCAGGGCGTACGGATAGGGTTAATGAATGAATTGTGTAGATGAGGGATGCTGCTGTCAATTCAATCGTACTTTAATAATAAAAATAATGAAGATCATTTCTATAGTGCCCACTCCCATGTAAACACAGCTCTAGGCGCTTTACATAAATGCATGTACGAACAATATTCATGCACGCGACACACACACACGCACATACACACTCATACACTCACACAAACACACACACATACACACTCAAACACACACACACACACACACACTCACGCACACATAACACGCACACATGTACTTCCACAGCTGTAACAGATGTGACAATTCTCTCTTTGTTATTCACAATAAATGATGAAACGTAGTGCATCTGTTATAATTCAAAACGATTTTTTTTAGAGAGCATACATACACATACAAAAGAAATGGAACTTTAATTGTTGGGAAATCTATTTTTGAAGTTCATGAGTTCATGTCATGGGAAATAAATGTGTTGTTTATTTTGTCAGCTCTCAGTTGCAGCAAGAGCTGAATTGTTTTCTCTCTCTATATATATAATATGAGGAAATTTACGTAAGTCGCGTAACCTCATACTTTCTTTTGCAATAACTAAGTTACGGGTGTACAAGTTCTGCAGGGTTTTTAAGGTCATAAGTATTCACATGCTTACCTTGAAACACTTTGTAAATCCATACACATACACATACTTACCATTCAACAATAGAAAGTATGATCAATTTTTGTAGAACAGCATGGGCCGGGAACACAAGACAACAAGATAAAGAAAAATTAAATCGACTAATACGGAAAGCATGTAAAATTTCAACATCTTCATTCCCCTACTTGGATGAATTGCACATAACAGTTTGCACTAAGAAAATTAATTCCATCTTTTTAGACAACAAACATCCCTTGTTCCCTCAAATAAAAACATCAGTCAGAAGTAAAAGACCCATGCTTCTGATCTGTAACAAAGAAAGATACAGGTCATTTTTACCATCATCTATCAAAATGCTTCCATCTTAACCATCTTGTTTAGTGTACTTACGACCTTAGAGCATGCTTCAAAATAACATTGAGTGTGTATCTAGCTTACGATTATTATTGTTTATATTGCTGCTCATTTATATTATGCATGTGATTGTAAGCCTACTTGTGTGTGCATGTGTGTGCACGTGTGTATGTGTGTGTGTTTGTGTGTGTGTGTGTGTGTGTGTGTGTGTGTGTGTGTGTGTACGTGTGTGTGTGTACTCGTGGTGGAACACCAAACCAATGTGCCAGGATCTGGACAATAAAGATGTATCTTATCTTATCTTATCTTATCTTATCTTTCAGTATCAGATATGCCGTCGGAAACTGGAGAGCAAATGCGAAGCTCTTCTGATTCTGAGCAAAGAGTTGCACCAATGCCGCAGCGAGAGAGACCAGTTCAAGCTGATGGCAGAGCAAGTCCGGGATCGATATCAAATGGTCAAGAGACAATTGACCGGTGATGTGAGTGTGTTAATTTGTATGATGAAGTTCCCCCCCCCCCAATGTTGCTGAAGGAGCTAGGTCTCTTGAATGTCTGCTTTTAAAGGCTTTAGGGCAATGCAGGGAATACCACCCTGAGATTTGAGAACCCATCCAAAAATAAGAATTGAGCTGTCAGTCTGCTATTGCCATTGGTAGTATAAGATAAAGGGTCTGTACTTTTCCTTCAGTTTTGAGGGTATTAGTATTAGTCTAAACCTCAAGTCAAAGAAGAAAAGAAAGAAAAAACTGGTCTTGACGTTAGTTAAGATTATTTCATTGCATTGGTAGATAAGATTATTTCATTGCATCGTAGATAAGATTATTTCATTGCATCGGTAGTTAAGATTATTTCATTGCATCGGTAGATAAGATTATTTCATTGCATCGGTAGATAATTTCATTGCATCGGTAGATAAGATTATTTCATTGCATCGGTAGTTAAGATTATTTCATTGCATCGGTAGATAAGATTATTTCATTGCATCGGTAGATAAGATTATTTCATTGCATCGGTAGATAAGATTATTTCATTGCATCGGTAGAGAAGATTATTTCATTGCATCGGTAATTGCATCGGTAGATAAGATTATTTCATTGCATCGGTAGATAAGATTATTTCATTGCATCGGTAGATCTACTGAGTTTAGAAGAAGTAGGCCTAGCCTTTCCCAGTGCTGAGTAACGGAACTTTTTAATGAACTAAAGCTGTTGCAGAACATGCTTTTAATTATTCTTTAAGATACAGAAGCAAATAAGTCTGCATTGGCAAAGATCTAACTTAGAGTGTGCTATAAATCCTGTTTTCAACTGTTGCTAAAGAAGCTGTGTACACTGAAGGAGATTTTCATTGATTCATTACAAGATTTAGGAGGGGGTGTTCCCTGTTTCCCTGTTTAAAAACTAAGATCATTTTCATCCAACAAGAAAGCATGATATGAGGGGGTGAGATGCAAAACCCGCTAAGTGACATTTTGGAAAAAAATCGAGGGTTTTTGTTTATAAAATAAATGTACATTGTTACTGGCGTTCAGATGCACAAAGTTTTTTCGACGAAAACCCAACACATACTTTATAAAAGCAAACAAAAAATCTTCTTTTTACGCATGTTCGCACATTCCTGCGTATAGCAGCATTGAAAAAAGCTGATTTTCTCAAAAGTTCTGAAATAGATGTAGCTGGTTTTTCACCTCATCCCTTCACATACGACCTTTTCTGTTGAAGAGTTCTTCACTTCTGCGGAATTACATCATATATCAGCACCGTCTGTTTGTTTGTGGAAGGGTCGTAAAGGTCACAAGATAATTACGAGTTACTTGGCATGTATATATATATATATATGTGAGGCAGCTTGGTGAAATCAGGCGCTCGTCAAAATAATGAAATTGAAGCAACTGACTTTTTTCTGCCAGTTTGGTAATTTTTATCTAATTTTTGCTTTCTGGCTGAGCACCATTGTTTTCCAATTAAGAACACATTTCTGGGTGGATTTTACTGAAAAACGTTGATTATATGCACAAAAAATGTAAGTTTTCAGTGTTGACGGACTATCAAGCTATGGAACTATTCAAACTTTGGCGGCCATTTTCTCGCTAATTCTACCTTTGAAACCAGGCGACCCCACCTTCTTCAGTCTGAAATATCTTGACTTCTGGTCTAGATAGATCGTCATTTTGTTTCACCGATAGCAAGACAACTGACCAAGCTTTGAGATGATACCAGCAACTCCACATGCCCAAAAATTGACGTAGGTGGTTGGCGGGTGCTCTGGTGTAGTTTGTTTCTTCTTTCCCATCAAACATCTATCGTCCTTATCTCCCCTTCTTCTTTTTTTTATGTTTGTTACTCTCTTGTAACACCTCTAATCTTTTGGCACTCTTATGACCTTGTGCAGTTGCGAGCGCTGAAAAACCTCTACTAAAACTTAAAACTAAAAAAATTGACGAGCGCCTGATTCCACCTCGTCACAACACGTATGATATCATGCACAATTTGTGAGCACACATTGTAAAAAGTCCCTGTTTTTTCTTTGTCTGTGTCTGCTCTTCAGACTCCGATGTCTCCCTCGCACGCTGACATGGACCCAAAGACGTTCTCCGACATTCAGACACAGGTTTGGTTCCGTCTCCAACTTTCCGCGTCCACATGTCTCGTTTTGTGAAATTTACTTTACTTTACAGAGCGAAATGCTCGCAGCTAAAGGGATTTGAAAACAACAACAACAACAACAACCTTACTTTACAAAATATTTCATTGGTATCTTGATTGTGTCCAGTATGAATGGGTTGGTGGGTGGTTGGCGGGTGCTCTCGTGTTGTTTGCTTCTTCTTTCGTATCAAACATCTGTCGTCCTTATCTCCACTTTTTCTTTTTTGTGTTTGTTACTCTCTTGTAATACCTCTAATCTTCGGCACTTAGTGGGTGGTTAGCGGGTGCTCTGGTGTGGTTTGTTCCATCTTTCCTATCAAACATCTGTCGTCCTTATCTCCCCTTTTTCTTTTTTATGTTTGTTACTCTCTTGTAACACCTCTAATCTTATGGCGCTCATATGACCTTATGCAGTTGCGAGCGCCGTAAAACCTCTACTAAAGCTAAAAACATCTGTCGTCCTTATCTCTCCTCCTTCTTTGTTGTGTATGTTAATGTTACTCCCTTGTAACACGTAATCTATTCTTTGGCACTTATTTGACCTTATTGTGTTGCAAGTGCCGTAAAACTCTTACTAAAACTAAAAATGTTTCATTGATATCTTGTTTGTGTCCAGTATGAATAGGTCGGAGGTTTGGATAAGCAAAATTGTTGATGTCATTTTGAATAAGAACGCTTGGTAGAGTAGACTGTTGGTGGTTTGCGGGTGCTCTGGTGTGGTCTGCTCCTTTTTTTTGTGTTTGTTACTCTCTTGTAACACCTCTAATCTGCGGCACTTATACGACCTTATTGTGTTGCAAGTGGCATAAAACTCTAACGAAAACGACACTTATAGAACTAAGTAAATGATGTGCGTATTTTTTACTTCATGTCCTTGCTGCTGTCTGGTAGCGCCTGTCACAGTGATATAATACAACCTGCTTGTTTGTCCAGAGTCTGGCCCGACTGTTGTTTGATACAAAGGAAAATAACAAGTCTCTGAAGTTTGAAGTGGATGATCTGAGACAGAAGCTTCAAGATGCAGAAGGAGATATAAAGGTAGGGCCATTGAGCTTTCTTCCTCTCTCTCGTCTCTGAGTCATCTACTGTTGCTTCCTAAACCTTGTTGTGTTCAGATGCTTCTGTTGTTAATAATAATAATAAATAGCATTTGTTTAGCGCATATCTCCGCTCAACAGCAGGCTCTATGCGCTTTACACTATATTGTTGTTGTTGTTAGCGATCCAGTAGCATCTGAGCGTTAACTCTTCTGCATGATGCCATTCGGTAATAATTGCATGTTTGTTCTAATTGTTGTCTTGAGGAGTAGAGGCAATTAAATGTGTGGGGTAGCTTGGGAAGAAAACATCCCCTTAAATCAGTTAGTTTTCTACAGAAGAACAGATGATGTTCCACTGTCTCTGAGGGGTAGTCACATAGTGGGCAGGCAGCAGACTGCTTTACTCCAATTCGGTTGAGATGTTGGTTGAGATGTTGGTTGAGGGGTACATGTTGTGTTCTAAGTTGGAAGATTATGGATTGATCTCCCCTCCTCAACTCATTGATTGGATCTTTGACCAGTGGTTTATTCATGTGGCCATACATCCTCCTTCCTGTCGTACCTGTGGCCCAATCATTCATCCACTCTTCCTTGAGGTTTGACTTGATCATTTGGCAGCAGATGCTTCTAAGAGGCTGGTCTTGTTCAGTTTTTGTCTTTCTATTGCACCGGCATGCTTTTTTTGAGTGTGTAGTTAGCGGGTGCTCTAGTGTGGTTTGCTCCTTCTTTCCTATCAAACATCTATCATCCCGATCTCCCCTCCTTCTTTTTTATGTTTGTTACTCTCTTGTAACACCTCTAGTCTTCGGCACTTATATGACCTTATTGTGTTGCAAGTGCCGTAAAACTCTTTATTTAGAAAAAAACACAAAAAATTACCTAACTGTGTTGCAAGCGCTGTTAAATTCTTACTTAAACTAAAAACAAGTTATTAGCAGTTTAAACAGTTGATGAATATCCATGCTTTATAAATAAGTTTTCATGGTTATGTGCCAGCTTATGAATGAGTCATCCTGATCTCTCTATCTCTCTCTCTCTCCCTCCCTCTCCTCTCTCTCTCTCTCTCTCCCCCTCTCTCTCTCTCTCTTTCTCTCTCTCTCTCTCTTTCTCTCTCTCTCTCTCTCTCTCTCTCTCTCTCTCTCTCTCTCTCTCTCTCTGTATAGCGTAGTACAGAATCTAAGTTCAAGACTCCCCTATCAAGTGTCAAGAACCCTAACTGTCTAAACCAATTGTTACCTAGTGTAGAGGGTTGGACATGAATTGTAACCTTTGCATATTTATTTTTTGCTTCAAACTTTACCATCGTATTTTGGGGAAAATCCAAAGAAACTTTGCGGTAGACATTGCCGATCGGCGAGAAGAGACGGTAAGGTGTTAAATGTCGTCTGGACCCGCGGCCTTGAATTAAATGAACTTGACTTTTCGTTTCTCTAGTTGCTGCGAGAGCAAATAGCAAGGTCCAGGGTAGGCACGACAGACGAAGGGCTGAATACTCGCCACTTCCCCGCTCACGAGAGAGAGGATCTGGTACGGCAGCTGGAGGCCAGCAGAGAGGAGGTAACTTTGGGTGTCCTCTTTGTGAAACGTGTATCTATGTGCATATGTACGAACGTATGTGTGTGTGTGTGTGTGTGTGTGTGTGTGTTTGTGTGAGTATACGTGTGTAAGATAAGATGAGAGATAAGATAAAATAATACTTCATTATTCCAGAGGGAAATTTTTCTTATATGTGTGTGGGTGTGTGCGTGCGTGCTTGCTTGCATGCGTGCATACGTGCGCTCGTACGTGAGCGTGTGAGTGCGTACATGCGTGTGTGCGTGCCCAATGTATGTTAAATATTCGATGTGCTGCACCAATGTATGTAATTGCCAAGCCATATGTCAAAATATGTGGATGTATGGGCCAAAGGCCTTTCAAATCAATAAATTATTTTGAAGTCTAAAATGTTTGTGTAAAAATGGGTGGCTGGGGTGTGCTATGTATGCTTCCCGGGAAGCTGAGAATGTTTCTGAGTGTTCTATGGTCTGCTGGGGTAATAATATAGTGTAAAGCGCGTAGAGCCTGTTGTTGAGCGGGGACATGCGCTATACAAATGCTATTTATTATTATTATTATTATTATTATTATTATTATTATTATTATTATCATTATTATTATTATTATACAAATGCTATCTATTATTACCCTATTACATGTAGAGATCCAGCTGCTAGCCCGAATCATGACCTGTTATGCCTTTCCCGTGTCTGTCCAGTACGTCCAGCTAGAGCGAGACTTGCAACAAGTGCTGGATGAGCAGCATGTCATGTTCATAATTGTGCCTGATCTACAACAGGGAACTGCCACTTTTTCTTTCCTCATCCTTACTATTGTCATTTTTCTCTACTTCTTTTGTATGTTTGTCACACCCTTGTGACCCGCTATTTCCAGGGTGACATGATAGTTGAAGCAGACTTTGTGCTGTTGAAGCTAGAGAGGTGAGCAGAGTAAGTCTGATTCCCTGTAAGGATTTCTCTGTCGACACCCACCCTTGGCGCTCATATGACCTTATGCAGTTGCGAGCGCCGTAAAACTCTCTGCTATTTCCCCTCCTTCTTTTTTATGTTTGTTACTCTCTTGTAACCCCTCTAATCTTCTGGCGCTCATATGACCTTGTGCCTTTGCGAGCGCCGTAAAACCTCTACTAAAACAAACGATATGAAATATTTGTGTTGCATGTAGAGATCCAGCTGCTAGCAGTGATCATGACCTGTTACGCCTTTCCCTCGTCTGTCCAGTACGTCCAGCTAGAGCGAGACTTGCAACAAGTGCTGGATGAGAAAGAGGAGCTGGTGACGGAGAGAGATGCGTACCGCACAAAGTACGAGCGCCTTAACACGGAGCTCAACTACATCCTAGGGGGAGATGAGAAGAGGATTGTGGACATTGATGCCCTCAGTATGGAGAACAAGTAAGATTATCCGGCTATTTGTCTGTCCCCGTGGTTTTGTTCACCCCGCACAATTGAGCAAAATTTGATCTTTTTTTGCATGATTTCTGATTATTTTCCTTTATCATTCTTTGTTAAAATTAACTGAATCACTTAGTTTCACATTTTTGGGCTCGGTTTGCATAATTTCAGGATTTTTCTTTCATAAAACGACGGGGATGGATTTTTTATATTTTTAAAAAAAATTCATCAATCATTTGTTGTTGTTTCTATTTTTGAAAATGAATACACTTATCTTTTTAAATCAATTTTTTATTTCATCGGTTGTTTGGTGGTGTTTTCATTTTTGACAACTAGTAGATCTACATATATCTATTTTATTATTATTATTTTTTGTTTTTTACATTTCGCTTGCTGTTGTTTTTTTTTTCTTCCAAAAACATGTATGTTTATCTGTGGGATTTTTTGTTGTTTCATCAATCACTTGGTGTGTTACTCTTTTGTGTTTGCTAGTGCCGTAAAATTTTTACCTAAATTAAGCTGACTCATTGTAACTTTTGGCTTTGCTTTTCTGGCTCCAGGTACTTGCAGGAGCGACTGAAACAAATGGAAGAGGAGAAGACGATGGCCATTGCCACTGTGACCAAGTATAAGGTACAGAAGCTACTGAAGCTAATTAAATCTATCGGTACGTCGTGTTTTACTATCGTAACTATACGACGAGGGGAACTCTGTGCCGCCACTTTCCAAAGAGAAAACTTACTCGTTAATCCGATTCGTACGCTTTGCATAGTAGTCTGTCAAAATGATTTTTAAAGAAATACTGAAAGTTTCAAAGAGATCTTTGTACTAGAAGTATTCTAAAATGTGAAGAAATACAACCCCGGGGGTACAGAATGACCCCAGGGCATACGGATAGGGTTAAGAGACTTGGTTTTTGTTCTTTTCTTGTTTATTAAAGTTTGACAATTTCCAGGGCGTTATTTAAGTGATTTCAGAAGGATGGGAGGGGGTCTTTTCCTTTTCTGCCTCTGGATACAAGCTTTAAGGTAAAATGTTTGAAGTAAAATGGAAAACTTGAACAGATAGATGCTTAGCTGCAAACCAGTTGTGAAAGATATATATGTTTTTGAAGGTCTGAGTGCGGAAGTCTGTTGATGTGTCTGAAAATACGAATTCTGTTTTCTAGTAGGGCCTATTACTCTTCATGGACTTGACGATGCTGAAGACAAAATTATTGACTTTCAGAATATATTAACTTAACAGAATAAAGCTTTTTTAGTCATTTGGAGAGACCTTAACACTTTGCAGTCACTTGGCGCAATAATGCGTCGGTGAAAATTATCCGCTCTGGTCACCTGGTGCAGTAACTGCGACAGGCCGGAGAAGTCTGTTGTAGTCACTCTCCTGGCTGGATGACCAGATGGGGTATTTTGTACTGCTGGCTGTGTGACTGCAAAGTGTTAACCAAACATTCCTGACATTATTGTTTAATTTATAGAATGTTGATAAATGTGTGCGGAGTGTTTGAAAAAGGGTTGAACCGGAGCAAGTTGTGAAACATTCATAGATTTATGCCTTGCATTTTCCAGAGCATTTTGGAGAAAAAGAAAACCAAGGGCATCATGAAGTTAGGCCAGAGTCGAAGTGGAGGACTTGTTATCACGCAAAAACAAGGTAAGTGTGAGCATTGTTACAACGCAAAAGCAAGGTAAGTGTGTGCATTGTTATCATGCAAAAACAAGGTAAGTGTGAGCATTATTACAACGCAAAAATAATGTAAGTGTGTGCATTGTTATAATGCGAAAACAAAGTAAGTGTGTGCATTGTTATAATGCAAAAACACGGTAAGTGTGTGCATTGTCATAATGCGAAAACAAGGTAAGTGTGTGCATTGTTATAATGCAAAAACACGGTAAGTGTGTGCATTGTCATAATGCGAAAACAAGGTAAGTGTGTGCATTGTTATAATGCTAAAACACAGTAAGTGTGTGCATTGTCATAATGCTAAAACACAGTAAGTGTGTGCATTGTTATAATGCAAAAACACGGTAAGTGTGTGCATTGTCATAATGCTAAAACACAGTAAGTGTGTGCATTGTTATAACGCGAAAACACGGTAAGTGTGTGCATTGTTAAGGTAAGTGTGCGCATTGTTATAACGCAAAAACAAGGTAAGTGTGCGCATTGTTATAACGCAAAAACAAGGTAAGTGTGCGCATTGTTATAACGCAAAAACAAGGTACGTGTGTGCTTTGTTATAATGCGAAAACAAGGTAAGTGTATACTTTAGATATGGTCATGTTAAGGACAAGCATATTCATAATCATAGGGTTCATACTGAATTTTTTTTTTTTCCTGAACGTTTAAGTGGATTCTGAAGAAATGTTCTAAAAAGGTCGCTTTTAAGGACAAGCAGGCTAACCTGGATATTGGGGGTTTCCAGAAATCTTGACCTACACCAAAAGTGGCGTTGGTGGCCTAGTGGTTAGTCTTTCGGACTCGCAACCGTAAGGTCGTGGGTTCAAATCCCGTCAGGGGCCCGACGTTGTGTCCTTGGGAAAGGCACTTTACACGAATTTTCCTCACTTCACCCAGGTGGGAATGGGTACCCGGCTATAGACAGTGAAAGATCTTGTCAGTTTGTTAGTGTTTGAGCGCTTAATCAGCTGCTTGCACTGTATGCTTCCCGGGAAGCTGAGAATGTTTCGGAGTGTATATAGTGTAATGCGCATAGAGCCTGCTGTTGAGCGGGGATATGCGCTATACAAATGCTATTTATTATTATTATTATAAGTGGACATTGCCGTACCTATAGAAGTTTTGTTTCTCTGGTGTGTATATTTGTTTGGATATTGAGAAAACTCTCCTTGTTTTTTAAGGAAACTGAATAAGGGGCAAAAACTTTACCTTCAATTTTCTCAGAACAGCTTTCTTCGGGATAGCCCACTTGTGCTTAAAAGTGACCAGATCATCTGTACATCTGAATGACTTTGTCCTAGTTCCAAAGTATATGCTTTTTTTTCCCATAGTGGTTTCATGTTAAGATTACTATCCAGTGTCATATGCCTCTATTCATTGTTCTTGTATACTTACTTCTGTTATTGTTGTTGTTATTATTATTGATCCAGCAACAGCTGGGCTCTCGCCCTTCTGTCCAATGCCATGTAGTGATAAGTGCAGCTTTGTTGCAGTTGCTGTAATGTTCCATAGAGTGTGTTGTCTATGTTAGGTCTCGGAGGGAGAAGGGTAGCTCTGATGTCATTTAGGGCTGTACAGTGGAACAGGTGATGATCCACAGTCTCATATGTATAGTCACACAAGGGACACATTGGGGGAAGTTCTGGTGGCCTAGTGTGGCGTCGGTGGCCTAGTGGTTAGGCTCTCGGACTCGCAACCGTAAGGTCGTGGGTTCGAATCCCGTCAAGGGCCCGACATTGTGTCCTTGGGAAAGGCACTTTACACGAATTTTCCTCACTTCACCCAGGTGGGAATGGGTATCCGGCTATAGACAGCGAAAGATCTTGTCAGTTTGATAGTGTTTGAGCGCTTAATCGGCTGCTTGCACACTATGATGCTTCCCGGGAAGCTGAGAATGTTTCGGAGTGTTCTATGGTCTGCTGGGGTAATAATATAGTGTAAAGCGCATAGAGCCTGCTGTTGAGCGGGGATATGCACTATACAAATGCTATCTATTATTATTATTTATTCTGTTCAGGTGGAAGTTGAGGGATTTAATGACCCATCCAGTGACATTTTCGTCATTTTTAGATTTAGTACCAAAAAAGGGCCCGGCGTAGTGTGTTTACTCCCCTCGGAGATAGAGAGTTAAATAGTAATTTTAAAAAAAAATAGCTTGTTTTGGACAGGCGATATGAGCATTACAATGGAAGTTGATTAACCTATCCGTACGTCTTGTTTTACTATTATATCCATACGACGTGGGGAACTCTGTGCCACCAGTTTCCAGAGAAGAAATTTACTCGTTAATCCGATCCGTACGTTTTGCATAGCAGTCTGTCAAAATGATTTTTTGAGAAATACTGAAAGTTTCAAAGAGATCTTTGTACTAGAAGTATTCTAGAATCTGAAGAATACAACCTGGGGGGTACAAAATGACCCCAGGGCGTACGAATAGGGTTGAAAAAACAAACTTTCTCTGTTCCACACAGTCCAAGAGATAATGCAGAGTCGGTCTTCCATCACGCCCACACCTCAAGCACTCGCTGACCTCCAGGGCCTGTGTGCCGCCCTCCTGGACACGATCAACGACAAAAACCTGGCCCTGTCACACCAGAGAAAAACCAACAAGTGAGATTGGCAGACTTTTTTTTTGTTTCGTTTCGTTTTTGTCTTCTTTTCCTTCATTTGCATGAGGTATTACGGTCGACCATGATAATAATAAATATTAATAAGAGCATTTGTATCCCGCCTTTCCCCACAACATGGGCCCAAGGCGTACATAGGAGATTAAAAACGCATTCATACTAACACCATACAAATTCATCATGTGCGCACTTTTTGACAGCAACATTCTTTCAGACAATAAAAAATGCCAATACAAAAAATCTAAGATTCAAGACGGCCACATGTACAATCGACCACTTCCTCGCTTGTTTTTTGTTTTAATATAAAGATGACACTGTCGAAGATGTCCATCTGTCTTTTTTTGATTTGTTTCGTTCTTGTGATTTTTTTCCTTTATTTACCCCCCGGGGCAGTGCTACTGACTGAAGTGTCTTAAGACCAACAGGGAACTGCTGATTTTTCTGTCCAAATCCTTACTATCGTCATTTTCCTCTACTTCTTTTGTATGTTTGTCACACTCTAGTGACCCACTATTTCCGGGGTGCCCTGATAGTAGAAGCAGACTTTGTGCTGTTGAAGCTAGAGAGGTGAGCAGAGTAAGCCTGATTCCCTGTCAGGTCTTCTCCGTTGACATCCACCCCTTGGCGCTCATATGACCTTATGAAGTTGCAAGCGCCGTAAAATCTCTACTGAAACTTAACTAAAATAAGATGTCCGCCTGTCTTTTTTCTGTTTTGTTTTGTTTCATTCTTGTGATGTTTTTCCTTTCTTTGTTTAGACCAGTGCTTACCATTGTGGGCCACTACTATTGTGGCGTCGATGGCCTAGTGGTTAGGCTCTCGGACTCGCAACCGTAAGGTCGTGGGTTCGAATCCCGTCAGGGGCCCAACGTTGTGTTCTTGGGAAAGGCACTTTACACGAATTTTCCTCACTTCACCCAGGTGGGAATGGGTACCCGGCTATAGACAGCGAAAGTTCTTGTCAGTTTGTTAGTGTTTGAGCGCTTAATCAGCTGCTTGCACTGTATGCTTCACGGGAAGCTGAGAATGTTTCGGAGTGTTCTATGGTCTGCTGGGGTAATAATATAGTGTAAAGCACATAGAGCCTGCTGTTGAGTAGGGATATGCGCTATACAAATGCCATTTATTATTATTATTATTACTAGTAGGGGTAGGGAGAAGGGGAGGGGAGAGTAGAAAATGGATTTAAAATTGGAAGAATTTCATTGCAGAAGAGCATGTGGATGTTTAAGCACAATCAGTGAAAAGCTATCTTGTCATAAATATTAAATTTATGACCAATCTCAATGTGTTTTTGATTTGCATGCGTCTGCCACCTCATTTGATAAACAGTGATACACAGAGAGATGAGCAATCCTGTTCTCACCTCAAACTTATTTATGTGACAGGCTTGTTTGGCTTGGCATGGATGTTTCCTTTCTTAGTGTGGAAAATTGTTTTTTTCTTCTGTTTTTCAGAGTGGTTGGCGGGTGGGCTGGTGTGGTTTGCTCCTTCTTTCCCATCAAACATCTGTCGTCCTTATCTCCCCTCCTTCTTTTTTGTCTTTGTTACTCCCTGGTAACACCTCTAATCTTCGGCACTTATATGACCTAATTGTGTTGCAAGTGCCGTAAAACTCTTATGTAAAAAAATAAGGATGCTTCCTTTCTTATTTGTGGAAAAAATTATTGTTCTGTTTTTCAGACTATTGGGAAATCGTGTCAATGAACTGGAAAAGAAGCTGAAGACTCTTGAGGTGTCAGGACTATGGAGTGTATCAGGTAAACGGCCTTTCACTTTCGTTTTTTCAAGCATAAGGTATCTTGGTATTTTTCCTTTATATATATATAGAATTTGGTCTTTTCTTATGAGAAAAAAATACACATAGTGATATTTCTTTTTAGAAACAAAAAGATTGTGTTAGTTGTACTACTGTCATCATAACCTTTCTCATCCTGCACTAGGGTATAGGCCACACACAAACTCTTTCCACCTTTCTCTATCCTGGGCTAGCCTCTTGATGTTATTCCATGTCTTCCCACTTTTCTGTACATCGATTTCTGTGATTCTTCTCCAGCGTCCACCACGGTCTTCCCCTTGATCTTTTACCATGTGGGTTCCAATCCAACACCTTCTTTGCCATGGAACTGCCTGACTTCCTGAGAGCATGTCCAATCCATCGCCACCACCTTCTTCCTACTTCATCTATGACTGTCTTGTTTTTCTCAACATTTCCTCGTTGGTGACCCTGTCTGTCCATCTGATCCTCAGTAACTTTCTTAGACACTTGTTCAAGAAAACCTGGATCCTCTTTATGCAAATCTGTGGTGTGTTCCATGTCTCACATCCATTCAGCAGCACTGACTACACATTTGAATTAAAAATCCTCAGCTTTGTTCGAAGTGAGATTTTTCTGTTCTTCCATGTACTTCTGTGTCGAGACCAAATTTGATTCCGTTCAACAATTATTATTGTTTGCAATTGCTTTATCAAAGATGAGGAAGAAATATCACTGAATTTTTCTCATTTTCCTGAAAGTCTATGTTATCAGCTCCGTTATTGTGTTCTCAGCAAAACTAAATTAGCATATATATATATATATAATTTGGATATATTTTCGCTGCAGCTTGAATTATTTTCTATACATACTTGTTCAGGAACTTTCAAGCGCATAGAGCATTGCATAAGTGGATATGCGCTATGTAAATATAGTCCATTATTATTATTATTATTATTATTATTATTATTATTATTATTATTATTATTATTATTATTATATTGTTGTAACTTCTTCCTTTCAATCGCATCACGCTTGAAGACTGGTATCTGTTATACACTTGGCCGTCTTAAATTCCTTCGTTGGCACATACAGCTTTTCATCATCATCATCATCATCATCATCATCATCATCATTATCATCATCATCATCATCATCATCATCATCATCATCATCATCATCATCATTGCCTATCTCACCCTGGGTCGGTGTATAGGTCTGGGACAAACACGTTCTGCCTTACCCTATCCTGGGCTAGCCTATTGCTAATAGTCAATGTCTTCCCACTTTTCTGTACATCATACAGAAGTGGTTAGGCTCTCGGACTCGCAACCGTAAGGTCGGGGGTTCGAATCCTGTCAGGGGCCCGACGTTGTGTCCTTGGGAAAGGCACTTTGCACAAATTTTCCTCACTTCACCCAGGTGGGA